CGGCCGCCATTTGCCGCCCTTCCCGGCCGGCTTCCGACAAGCCAAGTCAACAGGGAAGCCGGCAGGGAAGGCCACACGTCACGGCCACGTGATGCCTCGCTTAACGACCACAGGGATTCACTTGGCTGTGGCAAAAAGGCCATAAAATCAGGTGTGGTCACATGATGCCTCACTTAATGACCGCGCCACTTAATGATGAATTTTCTGGTCCCTATTGCACTAAGATATTTTTAATGTATTTTACTGTTTTTAGCTTTGCTGTACGCCACCCGGAGTCACCTGTGGTGAGGTGGGCGGCTATATCAATTGATTTAGTAAATAAATAAGTCGGTCCAAGACTACCTGTGCCCCTAGGGCTTCTTCTAATTCTATGCTGAGGAATCATCGCAGCCTGAAGAACCCATCCCACGAGTATGAAATCTGGTCGTAATAAGCTGGCATGTGGCCTGCTGCAAAGAATCTCCTTGCCGTAGCATCAGAGCAGCGTCTTCCCCAGGCTGCTAGTTTCGCACTGACAGACGAGAGGTCTGAGCGTCGGTTTTGGCCTCAGTCCAGAAACAACCCCGTCAGCCGTTCTTCACAAGGCCACCATCTCAAAAGACTAAGCATTCCAACCCGATCAGAGTCACTAGGAGTCGGGCGGCATATAGATTTTTATAACAGTAGTAATAATATCAGGAACGCATCCATTCCGACAACTGAGCCAGTAAGCTCAACGTCCACCCCTGGACATTTTAAAGAGGCCCGCCTGGATCAGTCTGAAGACCTCCTCTTACAGTGAGATCGAGAGAGCACCTCCTGAGTTCTCCTTCCACTCAGCGACTGCTGCAGCAGGGGGTCAGGCTTTCCACATACCCCAACCTGGGATCTACCCACAACCCACCCCTCTTCCACATAAGCAGACACCTCAAATGAACATTCAAGCACCACTGAATATTAAACACCGCTGATTTTTATTGATTTAAAAACACTGCATTATTTTGGTTCCTGACCTTCAACTAGGTGGCATAAAAGCTACGTGGAGGTTCAAGAAGAGAAAGAACATCCCCGCCAATATTAATACAAATCTTGCTTTTGGAACCAGTAGTTAAACCACAAGCCCAGGGAGCCGAGAATTCAACAGGGAAGTACTAAGGGATAGCTCAACAGAGAAAGCTACGAAGAGGAAAACACCTGTAAGGGGTCCAAACTGGAACGTGGCCCCTTTCTCAACTTCTTTGGAGGAACAGAAGTTGAGTGACATTAAAAAGGAGCATTTATTTTTCTGATTTTCAGAGTGAAATCCCAGAAGAACCCTTGTACATGCTGGAAAGGCTATAAGGAGTCTATGCTGAGGATTAGGGACGGTTCAGTCGCTAGCTACCTACAAAAGCCCTCACAGCACCCACCAAGCTTTGACACACAACATTCACAAGAAGGCATCGCACCATTCCCGCAGACAGCCATAACAGTCTCTGGATTGTTTTGCGTTTGCTCCACATGTGTCCTTCAGCCATTCACGGAAGAGGTCTTCGTCCTTCTTCAGCACTAAGAACTGTCCAAGCACTACATAAGGAAGAGAAGAGAAGAGAAGAGAAGAGAAGAGAAGAGAAGAGAAGAGAAGAGAAGAGGGTAAGTAATAGGGATAAATGTCAGAACTTAAAACAAAGCCACTGGGAGGCTAAAGGTTCTTGTACCACAGACCAGTGAAGCCCAAAGACTAGCAAAGCTCTCAGCACTCTTTGCAGATGATTTCTGGAGTGAAAGTTTGGGACTTACGTTGAGGAACCTCTGGTTCAAATCCCTACTCGGACACCAGATTTATAATCAGTAACAGTATTAGATTCCTATTCTGCCTTTTCTTTGGGAATTCAAGAGAAACTCATTTTATTTCTTTACTTTCACAACAACCACTAATCACCCAGGAGCTTCTTATGGCTAAGAGTTTTTAACACAGGAATTTAAATCCAAGGAGAGGGCCCTGGCTTTCCCTTACAATCAGGTTAATGGCTTGCGCCTTGCTGACGGGTGTGGGTGGAAAGGTAGACTAGTATGCTGGATTTGAACCTGGCTCTCTTCAGTCCTGCTCCAGTATCTTAAGCACTACGCCACAGTGACCGAGGAGCTGGGTGGTTGAAGTTAGCTCAGTTGTTCTCTTTCCAATTAGCCTACCTCACAGATCTGATGAAAACATACTAGTGGTCAGTTTGCATTTCTCAGACAAAAGAGTCGCCCTAAGAGAATCTCTTCTGTCAACCTAATTTGCACTGGGAAAGCAAAGCCCTTGCATGGGGCAACTACATTTCTACCCCATCTGTCCTGGGTGGAGCTGAGGACAGTGTGCGTGAAGCTCTTCTGTCCAGGCACCGACAGATCCTTAGCTATAGGCCGCTCCAGACTGGCCTCTGGCTTGGGCACAATCAGCTCTCGTCATGTGGCAGACAACGGAAAAGTGAGGCTAGCTCCCCCAGAGTTACAGCCCCAGGGACACTGCTGAAATTTCTGAAGGACTCAAAATGATTTACCCAAGAAGAGAAAACAGCATCTGTCCTTCTCCATCTATTAGCTGGATTTTGCTTTCAGATTTAATGGCTCAAAGGATACCTTGTCAAAACCTTTGTCTTCCAGCTTCTTGCCAAGCACATCTCCGATGCCAGCTAAAGTGCCAACAGGCTTGTCGCCCATGGGCTCAGCCACAAAGTTCCGATGCTTCTGGCTGGTAGTCATATTGGCTGCTGCCCCGCCCTGGCTGGGAAACAAGAGACCATCACTAAGCGGATAGAAGGTCACCAAGCAGTTACCAAAAACCACAGGCTTCTAGAATCACATTCAGGAGCTAACAGCTGCTTTCTCAAATCATGACACGATTCCTAATCATACTGTGACTTGCAGACCATGAAACAGAACTAAGCCATTTTCACTCCTGATGTGCCTTTGGCAGACAGAGATGAGCCACAGAACAACAGAATGTGTACATTTTGGTTACTCTTAATTTATCTTAATCTGAGGTCAGTTTTTACTAGGTTTTGTAAGGTGCCTCAGGAATTTCTGTTTAAAATGTACGTGGAGAATTACCTGTAAACAGAAATTCTGGGAAAGCCAGTTTGGTGTCGTGGTTAAGGCCCCTGTCTAGAAACCAGGGGACCATGAGTTCTAGTCCTGCCTTAGGCGACCTTGGGCCAGTCCTGCTCTCTCAGCCCTAGGAAGGAGGCAATGGCAAGCCACTTCTGAAATCTTGCCAAGAAAACTGCAGTCTAGGTAGTTGCCACTGACTTGAAGGCAAGCAAGTAAATAAATCTGGATTATGCAATTATTGGGATGTCCAAACTACACTTACGGAAGTATAAACTCATTAGAGGAAGTAAAAGGGCTTGAGGAGTTTCTACACTGCAACGTACCAAGGAAGAACAGAAGTTCCTGGGTAGGACAGGTGAGGCTCCTCAGGAGGTGTACCAAAGGGATGCGAATGCCAAACAGCGCAAAGAGGAAGTAAGCAGAAGCACGTAACCCAGAGAAGCAGGCACTCAGTGTAAGGCTCTTCCTCTAGAAGAAAATCCACAGCCACCTGAGCAAGCCTTGCAAACTCTGGACACGGGGCTTTTTCCAAGTGTTCAGAAGGAGAAGAGACATGTATAGAAAATGGATACTAGGCAGTTGTTAAACCTGTACGTATTGTGTCAGAAAAGCTAAACCTTAGGATGAGCTCAGGCTTGCGAGAAATGGCCAGAGCAACAAAAAGACTTGTTCAGGTGCATCACAAACCAAAAGAAAGGCAAAAAGATGTGTTGCAAGGAGAAAGGAATCAATTGGTAACAGGCGATACAAGAAGTTATCGTATTTTATGTCTGATTTCTCTCTGGCTGCAATTGTGCTACTAGTAGGAGAGGGACAGGGACGGTTCAGGACACTGAGAAGGTAAGAGAGAGTTTAACTAACTGAAGCAAATTCTAGTCTCCAGAGACAGATGAATGGCATCCTAGGGTCCTCAAGGAGCTAGTAGAGGAGACAGCGAAACTGCCAACTATAATCTTTGAGAACTCCCAGACAAGGAGGTGAGGTCCCAGAGGAGTGGAGGAAAGCAAGTGTCTCTATCTTCAAAAATAGGAAGGAGGGGGACCTGGGATATTATGTCAGCTTGAAGTCTCTACTAGGTAAAATCCTTGAGCAAACTGTGATCACTGGACAACAATTATTATGGGTTTGTTATAAAAAGTCATGCCTGACTAACCTTATTGCCATATCTATACAGTTACTAGTTTAATAGATTGAGGGAATGCCATGGACATAATGTACCTTGACATGAGCAAAGCAGTTTCTCATGAAAACAAGATACTCCAACAGATCATAAATGTCTCCAGAATGGAGAATAGTACTAAGTGGAGTGCCAGTTCAGCTCTATCCTAGGCCCTGTGCTATTCAACTTTACTAATAATCATCAGATTGAAGAGGCAGAGGGCATGTGTAAGTGGATTGGCAGGTAAAAGCCTATCCTATATTCATTAGTAGCTAGCAACATCTGGGTTCCAATACACAGTCATGCTAACCGATGCCCAGTTTGGGATCATGTGACCACATCAGCCCTTTGAGGTAGGCCAGGTCAAGAAACAGGCACAGCAGGAATTCCAGAAATCTCTTTATTGTAGTAAGGAAGAATAACAGAGTCTTGAAAGCCTCTGCAACACCCCCCGAATGGCTATCTCATATCTTCCCCATGGTCAGCTCTACATTCCTTTACATCACACAATGTCTCTCTTTCTGCTAGGGAATAAAATGGAATAAAATGTTTACCTTCTTAAAAAGGAGGGCAGAATTTGGGAACTGAGGCTGAGAAGAGAAACAAAGTGAACCCCAACAGCTTCAGAATTAACTGACTGGAATCTATAAGGAGGTGGACGAGAAGCCTAGGACTGAGACAAAGGGAAACCTGTTTTAAGAAAATGGCTATCTTTGAAAGGATAGGTTAAAAAAGGTTTAGCTAAAAATATTGCATGATAATAATTTTTATTTTAACAGTAATGTTTCATTTTTTTGGTCTCTGATGTCTATTTTCTCTGTACAAGCTCAATAATTGTATATTTTATGCAACTTAGAACCTCTTTACAGCAGAGATGCATCTAAATAATGAGCAGATCAGCATCATCTTGTAATCTGTCCAAAATATTTTTTTTCTACCAGAGATCCTTTTCAATCATGATCTGCAATTCGAACAGATCTAGATTTTTATCTCCTTTACTACTGAATGTTTAGGAGGTGTCTTAAAGCTAAAGAGAGTTGTTGACATTCTACTGGTTCCTTCCTTCCTTTAAAAAAATAAAGTCTGATTTATTTCTTGTGAGATCAGTCTAGTTCCCAAAGGAGGGGGTGGAGAGGAGAGGCCAATTTCACTATTCACACACCTCAACTTTCTTTAGCCAGGATATGGTGCTACCAAAGCTATCCAAGTTTTTCAACCTTTTACTTGCCAATGAAGATAGCGGAGTGGGAGCCCTGTCTTTCTCACGTGTGGGGCAGCAGGCCAGTTGTTACCTAGAAGTCAAGGGGTGGCAGAAAAAAATAACAAGCAGCTACCCAAAGGCAGGAGATAGAGGTAGACTGACTGTATAGACCCAAGAACCACCAATCTTTTACCTTATCCAATCAGCAGTGCTGCAGCAGTATGATTATCAAATCTGCAGGTGACCCAAAACTAGGAGGAGCGGCTAGAAGAGAAAGAAAATATCCAAACAGATCTAGGCAGCCTTAGATAGTGAGTCAAAATGGATAGGATAAAATTTAACTGGGAGAAATGGAACATCCTTCACCTGGAAAGAAAAATAAAAAGCCGCTTGTATAGGATCGGGAAGACCTGGTGTCAGAACCCTTGCAATCAGTCACTCACACTGCTAGTCCGCTTGCTTCGTTTCTGCCATTACAGTAGAGAGCGAAGAAGGGGGGGAAGGTTGGAAGGTGAACCGTTAGGCACAGATGGACTATTATCTGGCTCTCAGCAATGCCCAAGGTCATACCAACGGGAGAACCAGAGGGAATCTTTGACATGCACAAGAGAGATTCAAAGACAGAAGGGGGGGGTGAACTGGGAATGAGGTAAAACTAAGTTTTGGCACGCACGGGACTCAGTTCCAGCAATGCTTTAGAGCTGTGCACTACTTTAAATAAATGAACTTTCCTTTGAACCTGCCTTGGTTTCAATGAGAGTTGTTTTCATTGGGAACGAATACCGTGGTTCTTACACCTGGCCTGGCAGTAGTTCATGTGAAACGGATCCGTGTGTCCCACTCTATCACACATTGGACACAAGCCAAAAAAACCAAAAGGGCTCCATTCCCAGGATCCCAGAGTCCAGATCATGTGAAATAGTTGTCTCCCTCTACTACGTCTTGACCAGGCTCCACTTATACACTGTTCAGTTTTGGGCACTGCCATCTACAAAAGGACACTGACAAATTGAAGCTAGTGCAGCAGAGAGCTACCAAGATGGTGAGAGAAAAAACCAAGTTCAGTTAAGGAATGGGGTATGAATAGCCAGCAGAAGGGAAGGCTACGAGAAGACACAATAAGGCTAAGAGAAGTCTTCGGATACGAAGGGCTTGTCACACAGAGGAGGGCACACTGAGAACCAGTGGGCTGAACTGCAAGGAAGAAGACTCAGATTAGATGTTAGGAGGAATTTTCTGTCAGTGAGAATTGCCAACCAGAGGAATAGGCCCTCTGATGAAGTGGTGCGCTCCCCTTCCCTGGAGGTCTCCAAACAGAAGCTGGCTGCCATACAGTATTGTGAAATACCAAGAGTTTAATGACTGCCATGGGCATAAATCAAATAAATTGTCCTTTAGCAGATCTTGCACTAAGCCAGGGGGGTTGCACTAAGTTTACACAGGCAAGATTTTGTCTCTACAACCAGTTTTAGTGGCGTCCTTTTTGGGAAGGGGAAAAAGAGACAAAAGAATGTAACTTGTCAGAACAATTTAATTCATAAACAGAAGGAAGAATGGCTTCAGGCAGAGTCCAGCCACAGTAAGAGGGAACATTTCAGCAGATGGAAGCTGGACTATGTGGGAAACGGCACAGTGACATTACTAAGGTGATAGACTACTGTAATGCAATTTACATGGGGCTGCATTTGGAAGCTATGTGTAAAATGCAATTGATGCTAAACGTCACGCCCAATCTCCACCAGTTCATGCAATATTGGTGTTGCAAGTACTGCATCGATTGCCATTAGGCTCTGGAGTACAATTCAGGATGCTGACGGTTATCTATAAGTCCCTCTGTCACTTAGCAGCTGGGACCACCCACCCTAAGCCAAGTCAAGCCATCCACTGTGTGTACTTCCTGGCTAGGCATATTGAAAAGTGCCGCTCTCTCCAAGAGATTCAGGGAAATGGAACAAGAAAACAATATTTCTTCATCCCTATGGAACACTTTACCCGTGGAAATTCAGGCAGCGACCCCCTCCTCTTAAACTGAATAAAAACATCAACAATCCACATGGATTTGGCAGTACACGGGTGTTATAAAAAAAGGATCAGGCCATTCAATCTGAACGGCATTTAAAAATGATGCCTGCTTCTGAAAATAGGGGCGCTGGACATTTTCATTCCACGCAGCTCTAACCCCATTTCAGAAAGAGACTGGGCAGCGTGGCTGCGATCCCTGCATGGCTGGTCGCCTTCCTTCTCCTGCAACAGACGGAAGTCCTCTACTGCAGATAAGGGGACGCGGCCCAGGCGGGGGCAGCAGCTGACGTCCACTTACTGCAGCTAAATAAGGCAATGTGGTGAGGACAGATAGCGAAGTAACAGAACAGCGCCGCCTGCTGGAGAGTTAGTCACCGAAGAGCGCTAAGCGGGATGGCCTCCGGGGCCCCGGGCTTTCCTTTAGGGGCTGGGCCAGGCTCAGGCAGCAGAGGCAAAGGCAAGTTGCACACAGTAACGTGAAAAGCAGCGGCCAGAAACACACAAGCAAAAAAGCACGGAGTAAGGAAAGCGGAATTTCTTCCTGCCCCATGCCCTCTCCGAGTCCTCTTAGCGCTTCTCCTTCCAGCCAAGCATAATTATGTTTGAAGCTCAGGGTAAGGAAAGAGCACCTAGCAACGATTTCAAAACATCCTCTGGATCATCCAGTTACAACTCCAGCTTCCCATTACTGTGGGAATCCCTGCTCTGGATTACTACAGAACCAGCTCAGCCACATTCCAGACCTCCTTGGGAAATTTCTGTTTAAAGGGCCATCCATACAGGAGGCAGGAGCGATCAACAGGTCACTCTGCAAAACCTCCCAAGGAGGGAAAGAAAGCCCACGGCAGCCCACCTGAGCGCAACGCTTAATGCAGCCCTGGGGCTGGGCTGGAAGCCGGCAAAATGGAGACAGCGTTTAAGCCTTGCAACAGGGCTTAGTATGGCTGCAGGATGAGGAAAGAGTCTACCACACACAGCCCTCTTTCTATTTAATTTGCTAAATGCTGTAAAGCCAAATGTGGTTATTTTATTCCAAATTGATTTAGAACATCAGCCATTTTTTAAAATATTTTTTTATCCCGCCTTTATTATTTTATAAATAACTCAAGGCAGCAAACATACCTAATACTCCTTCCTCCTCCTATTTTCCCAACAACAACCCTGTGAGGCGGGTTGGGCTGAGAGAGGGGGACTGGCCCAAAGTCACCCAGCCGGCTTTCATGCCTAAGGCGGGACTAGAACTCACCATCTCCTGGTTTCTAGGCCAGCACCTTAACCACTACACCAAACTGTTTCTCTTTCTAGAACCATGTGTGGAACATTTAACACTTCTAATTTTCCCAGAAGCCCCGTGCATAAATATAGATAGAGCCCATTTTGCCAACCTGTCAAAACGGCTGCTCTGTCAGATTCATTTCAGTACTGACAGATGGCAAACAAACGCTTCAGAGAAGGCTTGCAGGTGGCCACCTTTAGTGATCAGACTGCTTTTGAAGGTTCCATTTAACTATCAGAGCTTATAAGAACAGTTAACTACCATCTGGCTGGATTAGACAAGAAAGTCCACCTAAGCCTAACACAGTGCTTCCAACAGCAGCCTGGACCTTTGACTTTAAAATACAATAACACAGAATTAAATGCCAGCTGGGATTCTACATTTTGCAATCCTTATAGTAGGTTTTATTTGCTAGCCACTGAATAGAAACTTGGTTAGTATTTCCTAAGATTCAGTAGCAACTTCTGAAACATCTTGTTGACCAAGATCTGAGTACACTCTTTTGTGCTATTGTGGTCGCATTTTTTTCTTCCCGATCGGTAAACTTAGTTATGATTGCTTTTTATTGACTGCAAGTCCTTCCTGCAGCTCTGAACTTGCAAAGTTCCTTCAGGGCCGTAACAGATAATGGGCTGCAACAACGGACAACGGACAACCCTCCTCAGCTGGCTTTGCTTACTCTTGGCTTTATTCATCTTACTGTTAGGCTTAAATTGCCTTTTCACCTTCACCCCTCAAGAATGAAAGCCTGCGTAACTGACCTGTTATTCCCAGAGGATAACCACCACCACCACAGTTGTAAATTACACACCCCTTGCCTGAAGTCTACCGAAAGGCAGCTTTAAACACCAGGCTGCTGCCGCACTCTCTACCTGGGGCAGCCTTTGGAGGTGCCCCGACACTTCCAAGGGCCCCGAACGCAGCAGCTACTGGTTCTCTGCCGGCAGGCAGAGCCGGACTGCTTCTGCAGCCTTTGGACCCCATTCCAAGGCACTCCTCTTGCCTTCCAGGGCGCAGCGCGGGGCTCCCTCAGGCGCCACACCGGCAGAGAGGCTCCCCCAACCTGGTCCTTGCAGGGCCCGTGGCGCTCGCCAAAACCTTCCTGTGGCAGCTGCCCTGGGCCGCTTGTGGGCGTCTGCCTGGGCCCTTCTTCGCCCTGCAGGCTGAGTGTTCTTATTGTGACTGTTGCTGCCCTTCGCTTTGGGGAGGAAGTTCCAAAAACTCGGCCACCCTGAAGGAGCCTTGAAAAACCCAAACTGCGATTTGTGTGTGTGTATCTATAGACACACACACATACATACACACATTATATACAGATGTATATCTATATCTATCTATCTGTAGGATTGATACTGAAGTTG